AGTAAAAAAAATCTCAAACTCAGTGATCTCTACAGTGTACGCAGAAGTGGGAGGCATTGTAACCACCGACACCGTAGAGCAGATGATCTGTTGTGGCCTCAGGCTGGTGTATGAGCCGCCTCAAGCCTGTGGTAGACCAGCAAACCGGCTTCCTCCAACAGAGAGCTCCAAAGTGGGAGCCTGGAGGTGCGGCGCCCGACTCAGCCATGGGACCCCTCACATGCTTTGCTCAACAGTCCCCCCACCCCCCACCAGTCCCTCCTGTCTCCGCTCCCTGCCTTCTACACAAGGCCCCGGGATCCAACTCCCTTCCAGACTGCGTGCTTCCTGAAGACAGGCCTCCATGTGCATTTTATCTTCACGTCCAGCAGTCAGTCCCAGACGTTCATTGATGCCTAACGGACATCGTTAGGCATTTGTATTATTGCTTCCCCATTTGTATTAGCCTGAGAGCTTGCGAACCAAGGTTGGCAGGAGACACACGTGTAATGGAAATCTGCCCCACCTGGTCCTCACCTTGCTCTTTCCTCTGCCGCCTACTCAGCCGCCAGCCATTCTGCCAGCATTTGTCAAGGCCCTGTCATCTGTCAGTCAGCAGGGACTGAAGAATCAGAGGTGAATGAGACCCCGGACCTGCCTTAGGGTAGCCCACAGTCTAGGAGGTCGATGAGGGTGATCAGGACAGCTCTTCTATCTCCAGAGGCAATATAGGATCAAGAGCTGGAAAAGGCCCACCTGGAGGCATGATAACCCAGGAAGAGGGAATGTGGTGAAACAAGTCAGAGGTGAGAAAGAGTGACCTTGTCTGGCATGGCTGGAATGAGGCCACCTGTGGAGGGGAAGGGGGTGAGGCAGCTGGTGAGCCAGGGTGGAAGCAGCCTCTCATGCCAGGGTGAAGGATTTGGACTTTATCCTATAAGTGGTGGGGAACTACTGGAAGATTCTATGCAGGGTCGGCTATTTAGAAGGATTAATATGGAAGCATGCTGTAGGTGGATGGGCGAGCCAGGAGGTAGGGAGGCCACCGTGTGAGCAGTGGGAAAGCCAATGCCACAGAAAGAACACTGGGCTGATCATCAGGAGACCCAGCTCCAGTCCTGTGTTTGGCCACTAACTCAATATGGGATCCCATGACCCCGTGCTGTAAAATGAAGCAATTCAGTGAGATGATCTCTCTGCTCCGTCTAAGTCCTATGATTTATTGATCTAACTGATGTAGAGCAGTTTGTCAGTCTCAAAACTGCTTTTGGAATGCAGAGGTATCTCGTGTTATTGAAACGCGGGGTTCAACTCTTACTCTCCTGTGACTACAGCAATTACTTTATAGATAATCACAGAGCTAAATTGGGTGATGCTTTCCCTCAGCTGGGCCAGGAAAGGCAAATAAGGGGTATTTCACTAGTTTTAATATTTTAATACATATTTATGATCCACCTGGTGCAAAAAGTTCTCTTTAATGTAACATAAAATAAAGAACATTAAAAGGTGGTTAAACCAACAATGAAAAACAAGAGATCAAAAACATTTAGAAGAAAAGAGAATGAGCACCAAATATGTGGAATGAGAGCATGGAATTTGGCTCTGAGCTTCCCAGCAACCAGAGCAAAAATGGAGCCTGGTAGGAATTACAGTTTAGGGCTATTCATCGCAATGGTTTTCCTCTTCTATGGCTCGAGTTCCATCTCATCTGAACTCCTTCATAGGCTCTTTCTGGGGACCACAAATAGAGAAATTGGAATGATTGAGCTGGGCTTCAAGAATCTCAATTACTTTGAGGTCATTTAACTTTCTTTTGGCTCATGGGCACACAAACAAGGTGCAGAGGCTGCAGTGATTCAGGGCTGTAAAATGTAAATGGACAGGAAGTCTTTTTGAAGGACAATTCAAAAAGGACTTTCAAAGAGGGTTCATTATTTTCTGGTGTGGAGAAGGATTAAACAGTAAAGAGAATTTTACCCAATTTTCAACATGGTCTGACCATCAGAAACGTCCACGGCAGTACCACCAACCTCATAACTCTAGGACACGCGACTGTAAGCAGGGACAAGGAGGACCTCCAGTTCAAAACTCCACTGGCCTTTATAAAACGGGCAAAGCAGACAGAGACCCCCAGGGCCTAGGCAAGCAAAGCCCTCTCACCTCTGGACCTGTTTTCTTCTCATCAAAGCAAAAGGCCTTTTTCAGTTCCAAGCTAAAAATCTGACATGAGGGAAACCTTAGAGAAATCACCAAATACCACCTTTCACCCAAAAGAGAAATAGGTTATTTGTATGATTTCAGTTCCGTGAAGCTGAATGCTTCACACACGAGGGCATCACCTCTCATCAGGGAAACTCTCAGAAATTTCTTCCTCGCTCCCTTGTGCCTCCCTCCAACACACTGGCCCTGGCTGTCCTCCAGAGCCTGCACAGGTTAGTCCTGCTTCTAGTGGGCAGTCCAAGCAGCCCAGACACCAGCCTGGGTGACAGGAGCGTGAAATGGACAGAGCTGCACTAACACCCGTGTTTCTCCTGAAGGGACACGGCACTCCAACTGGCCCACACAGCTAGTCACTTCATGGGTTACTTGTGTGAATCAGACGGGGAGCTCCTTGAGGGGAGGGACCAACTTCCTTTTTACTCTGCACAATGCCTAGCGCAGAACCTTGCACAGGTCCTAGGGAATTTTGACGAATGCGTTCTTCCTGGAGACAAACTACACTCTATACCAAAATATAAAGCCATCTGCCAATGAGACCAGTATTACCCACACCATACACAGCCCAGGTACACAATCCCACATCTTGATTTTACTTCTTCTCAAGGGTTGATGTCTGATGTCCTAGCTATATGCAAGTGTTCTGTAAATAACTGAATGCTATTGCAATAGTGCAGTCACTAGTAACATATCTATTCTGTGTCATCTGGGAGAAATGCCTTCCTAAACTCAGTCCCCTCCACCCCACTGGAGGACAACGGCCCCTCCCCAACCAAGTTCGTATTCAAGGGCTGTCTGTGGAAACCAAGTTCACGCAATAGATTGTGTACTATTTACAGTTGTTGCTTAAGGGCGAGTTTTAACCAGTGCTATTAAGGAAAAAAAACATTACATCATTTAATTGCTATTTATTTTCATAAACATGAGGTATTTCAAAGTGCTATAAGATGCAGCACTAAATATATACATTTTGAAGAAATTAAACACAGAACTTTGCATTTACCCAGTTCTATGCACCAAACATGAACAAATACATTAACAGGAAGAAACAGGCTAGGAAAAAGGCATATATATATAGTAAATTTCTTTACAAAAGTTTCTTAGTTCAAAAAGTGATAAAGTAATATCTACTCAAAACTTTCACAACTCATTTTCATACGAAAATATAAGTATCAAATTTAGTTATGTATCAGCATCATACTAAAGTATACAGGCAGTGTAAGAATTAGTACAGTACATAACAGAGATTAACAATATATTTGTATACAAAACATGCTCCTCAAACATTGAGGTATTACAGTACTTAGGTATGAACTTCCAGTCTAATACTGGCCGCAAAAGCCACCTCTCATTACCCAGGACGTATACAAAGGCAGGTGTGTCAATGGTATTTACAGAAATGTTCCCCAGGGGTATCAAACGGCAAACCCCTCACGTGGCATCTGCTGGAACTTAAGCACCATTTTAAAAAGAAGGAATGACTTTCTGTTGTCTGGAAACTTGGAACAAACAAGGTGACTTCAACAGCCCCCGAGGCTCCCAACTGTCACGAACTTCGACGGCCGGCTCGAAGGTGACATGGAGGAAACTCTAAGGGCCACCCAGCATCCCATCACGCAGGCCCTCTCCTGAGGTCCTGGTGGAACCCACATGTCCTGCTCCCCACCCAGATCCAAACTCGACGGGGACCGATGTGAAAGTAAACCAACATTCTTAACGTCAACACAAGGTTTGTTTAAAAAAAAAAAAAAAAAAATCAAAATGTGCAAAGTGGCAGTGACTGTCCAGTTTTGAGAAACATTTAGCAAGTCCGAGTGTGTTCAATTTTCTTTAGCAACTGCTGCTGTCTTGCCTGCAACTTCTCCTTCTCCAGCAAAAGCTGGTGCTCCTCGGCCTGAAGGGAGTGGACGTACTCGGTGGCCTTTTTCAAAATGACCACCTTGGCGGCCTTCTCGTTCTTCACCAGCTCTGGCACGTGGTCCCTGAGCGTGAGGAAGCTGGACCGCAGGTCGTTGCGGCGCTGGCGCTCCAGGATATTGTGGTTCCGGCGGCGCTCGCTGTCCTCCGAGTCAGAGTTGCGGGGGCTCAAGCTCTTAGCCTTTGGGGGGATGACACTCTTGAAGGGACGCGGGGACGCCTCACTCTTGATCTTCTTCTGGGGCGGTGCATCCTCGCTCTCCACGTAGGGCGAGGGGGCGGCATAGTTGTGCTGCTGGTGGATGGGGACACAGCGCTTGAGGATCAGCTCCCCGGAGGCGGCCCTCCCCGGGCCCAGGGCTGCGCTCTTGGGACGCACGGTGATGGTGAAGGTGGTGACAGCCTTGCTGTTGGAGGAGGACCGCCGCTTCTCCACGGTCACCACGTCAATTTCTTCCTCTTCATCTTCCTCTTCGTCATCGTCGTCATCTTTGAGAACAAGTTGGGAGTTATTCTCATGGGGAGACACACGAATTAAATATATACAGTCTCTTACAACAGGCTCTGGCTCCTAGTTTGCAGTTAACTATGGATCCATCAACTTAGAAATGTATCTTTAAATACTTTTTCCTTCCCCTTGCTCCAGCACTTTCTGCCTTCACTCAAACTTGAACAAGTGGCAGAAAGAGGCAAAACTTTGGCTTTGGGGTCAGACAAAATCCTGGCTCCATGACCATGGGCAAGTTACTTTACCTTTCTAAGCCTCAGTTTCCTCAGCTATTAAATGCGAATAATACCACAGGGTTCTTAAGTTGGGCAGATAATTTGTAGAGAGCTGGGCCTAGTAGACAGAGGCTCAGTAGATGGTAAGCTTTTATCATCATTGCTACACTGCCCCATAGTCTTATTTATATTTCCATCTCCACACTTACGAATTCAGGCTCCCCATTTTAGGAGCATCGTAGAGTGATTTACACATGGTTGAGTTTGCTTTTAACTTGAGTTTGATTTTAAGTCCTTAAACCAACTTAAAGAACAATTTAATTAACTAAAGAAGAAAAATAACTTGTTTTCCATGAACCTGAGTTCTAGACAGCAAGCAGTTTTTCATCTAACAAAGATCAAACCTTCACTACAATGTTGTAATCCACAGGAGCCCTAAACCCAAATAGAGAGCACCTCCTCTCCAAGTCACCAATAATAACAGCAACAGCAAAAACGTGTAGCGTCCTGTGTGCATTTCCCCCTCTCCTCATTTACTACCACGCCGGGACAGAAAATTATTGTTTAAAATGCAAGCATAAAATCAAAACACATCTTCTGCTTGATCTGAAGGGGACCGGAAAGCTGAACAATTGTGGGATTTGTTCTAAAGCCGAAATGTGAGGCTGTTCCAGTCTGTGGGTCCCTTTAAGCCAATGTTTTGGTTTTCTGCCAAGAAGACAGCTGTTGGAAGGAAGTGCTTCCTCACCGAAAGCTGTCAAGGCACAGACATTAAAGGGACAGACTCGTTTCAGACTGGAAGCTTATCACCAAGTTTCCTTCCAGGAGCCTCAGATGAATCCGTCCTCAGCCCCGAAGGAACTTTAGGCTTTATATCCACCTGCATTCTGCAAACACAGATTTTCAAGGTCCACGGGAGCCCCAGCTCCAAGGACAAGGGCTATTTAAGTATTTGGGTAGAGTTCTTTCCCTCCGGAGCCCCAGGCAAAGTCTCGGTTTAAATCCCACCCTTCAGTTTAAGACAGAGGCACACAATAGAAGTAATCAATGAGTGCTCCCAGGGTGTGTGCGTTCCTGGAGAGCCTGCCAAGTGTCCGCCCTCACCTTGAAGGGCAGTGGGTTACAAAACAACTCAGATCTGAAGTTAGCCCTGGAATTCTGGCTAGAAGACAAAACTGGACCCAGTTCTCACTGCACACTGTAAAGAGGCGGCCCCTTGAGAATGTACACAACCGCTGTTGTACTGGCCGCCAGCTGCTGAATGAAGGGAGGGAGGGGCGGCCCCACCACCCCCAGCCTTTCAGATCCTTGGCCCGCCTGCTGGGCGGCATATCGCCGCCTGCTGGCCACGTACCAGGAGCAAATAGCCCACCACCCACTGAGGGAGGAAGAGAGAGTACCCAGGTTTGAAAAAATAAAATTGGTACTAGCCATCTGTGCGATCTCTCTAACTTCCTGCGCCCTAAACAGGATTTTGCACAGCGCTTGTGTCTCCTCCGGGTGTCTCCCTCCCCTGACCTGGGCCGCAGAGTCCCTTTCCACCCCGGGGGGTAACAGGTTTCTGCCCAGGCAATGCAGTCAGAGCCCCCTAAACCCCCACTCGGCTTTAGCCACTCAATTTTTCCTAATTTTATTCCTCAGGCTGCAAAGAGAGGTGGGGGACGGGGTGAGGGCCAATGGTGGAGTCAGGCTCCCGAGAGAGGGGGTAAGGAACTTCGACGAAGGCGAGACTTGGGAGAACACACAGTTACTTCTTACCCTGGGGAGCAGCTCGGGAAAAAACGACGTCTCAGCCACCAGCACTGGTTGCCAAATACTCTCCCCCAAAGCCAAACCCATGCACAGCAACAAAGGGAGCGGGACCCCAGCTCCAGGACCCCAGCAGTCTTTACCTGAGTCGCTCAAGGTGTCCTCTCCGGAGGTGCTGAGAGCCTTGTGGTCGCCGGGGCGCGGAAGGGCGGCCACTGGGGCGCCGGCTGGGGCTGCGGCACTCGCCCCCGAGGCGGCCGCAGCTCCCGCCGCCGGGGCACCGGCCGGGGCAGCGGGCACGGGAGCGGGCTCACGCTTGCTCACCGGGAACGGGAAGACCACGGCGGGATCCACGCACTCGGCGGCCGGGCCGGCTCGAAGGTGACATGGAGGAAACTCTAAGGGCCACCCAGCATCCCATCACGCAGGCCCTCTCCTGAGGTCCTGGTGGAACCCACATGTCCTGCTCCCCACCCAGATCCAAACTCGACGGGGACCGATGTGAAAGTAAACCAACATTCTTAACGTCAACACAAGGTTTGTTTAAAAAAAAAAAAAAAA